AATCCCTAACGACAACAACTTGGGTCCGGGAGTTGAAGGGGTTTGCTTTAGGTAGGCGTGTTGTGACGATAGGTGTGGGTAGCGGTGGCATGAGGTCGGGAGTGTAGCTTGGGCACATTGCCTGGTACCTCAGGGACCAAACGAATCCTAAAAGGGTTTATGGCTCACATACCCTAATCCCTAATCCCTAATCCCTAAACCCTAAACCCTAAACCCTAAACCCTAAACCCTAAACTATACCCAAATAGGAACTACAGTAGTATAGGGTATATGACGCCAAGTTGTGGGTTCATGTCGTCCTTAAGGAACGGCAGGGTTTTGTAGGGCGTCGGGCTGTGGACCCAAACGGTCTGGGGGAGGCACTGGACTCGTCACGGTAGCCAAGTACCCCACTCAGAATCCCGAAGCCTCAGCCCTAAAGCTTAGGGTTTAGGGTTTAGGGTTTAGGGTTTAGGGTTCAGCATCTCTGGTCCAAGCATTCACTAGTTGAGCAGCTTTCAAGGCCACAGGGGAATACCCACCCGCCCATTGGGTCCCACACCATTAGGAAAAATATCCAACCTTCTTCTTCTCTAGGCACGTGGTCAACAGAATGGATTTGTTAACCACATGTTTCTGTTTCAAGCGGACAAGAAAACCAAACGTGGTCAACAGAATGGATTTGTCAACCACTTGTTTCTGTTTCAAGCGGACAAGAAAACCAACGTGGTCAACAGAATGGATTTGTTAACCACATGTTTCCATTCGGGAACTTATTCGGGTGGGGGGGGGTGGGGGGGGTGGGGGGGGGCCCGCTAAATATATGACCTTGCCCGCTATGAGCTTGCCCGCTAAATATATGACCTTGCCCGCTAAATATATTACCTGGCCCGGGCCATATATTTAGCGGGCAAGGTCATATATTTAACGGGCAAGGTCATATATTTAGCGGGCAAGGTCATATATTTAGTGGGCAAGGTCGCCCTTTAGCGGGCAAGGTCATATATTTAGTGGGCAAGGTCATTTTTTAGCCAATGGACCTTGCCCACTAAATATATGACCTTGCCCGCTAAATATATGACCTTGCCCGCTAAATATATGACCTTGCCCGCTAAAATATATGACCTTGCCCGCAAAGTCATTAGCATTTATATTATATATGAAAGAGTGGTTTAGGGTTTAGGGTTTAGGAAAGAGATCTATCACCTGACCAGGTTCCCTCGGGTGCCTATGCAGTGGGTGGCCCCCTTCACCCTCAGGGCGCTGCTCGCTGAGGGGCAAAGAATGTGAGTTGATTTCTGAACAACGGCCTGTTCCCGCCATCGCTTGAGGAGCTAGCATAGCCACAATAGGGCCGTGTAGTTGTAATAGGCACTGCAGTACTTCTGACGTCTTGTAAGTTATGCAAAGCAGCTCCAAAGCAGCTCCCAGTTCATTGAGTCATCTCGCCACAGGCTTGGACTGACAGACCTGGAGTGCAGGAATTGTCTTGGTAGATGCTCTAACGAGAACAAGCAAAATTCTGTGAGATAGAGAGAGAGTCTGTGTGAGTGTGTGTACCTTAGGAATCAGGTTTTGCAAAAGCGGTGGCCTGCAGTCGCCGAACTAGGGCTTTCGTCCAAGCACTCTGCTTTCCAAGCCTATTAGGGCGCCTAGAGCCCTTAGAGTTATTTTAGCGATGCTACCTGGTGAGTCGGTGCGTGCCATGCATGCAACGTGGCGCGCCCACTCAACGGCCGCCGGCCAAAATATTTTCCCATAGACGTAGCCAGTTCTCCGTGACTGCGAGCGGGACTTGGGGCTTGCACTGGCTTCTCAGCTTAAGGTGTAGCATGCGCACCCAAGGGAAGATAGCCAGCCGAATGGCGCACTGGGCCAGCCGACCGTAGGATGATAGCCCGGGCCTCCTAAACCCTAAACCCTAAACCCTAAACCCTAAACCCTAAACCCTAAACCCTAAACCCTAGCATTTCAGTAGGCACACTATATGATCCCAGGATGGCCAAAACTTAAAGAAACTGTGAGAGACCTCCCGTACTAAAGCCTACGGTTCTTCACTCACCTGAGAGTACTTGGAGGCTCATGGTACTTGTTATCTGTGCTTCTGACCCACTTTTCAAGCCCCTTTCAGTGCCCTAATATGGTTGTAAGTACAGTCATCAGTTATAAGTACTGCTTTTAATTGGTTTTAATAAGTACCCTGAACCTCCCAGCATGGCACTCAACTCGATCCTGGAGGGATCCTTTTTACTTTTTGGGTTATGGGCTTTCTTATATATAAACAAAAAGGATCCCTTTTTCTTCCTAGGGGAACAGGGATTAAGTAAGGGTCCATGTACCTATGTAGCATGTAATTGTGCATTCAAGGGGTTCCCGTCTAAATAGCTTTCGGGCAGAATGTAAGAGGTCCCCTGTTAAGGGCCCATACTGAGGGACCAACCCCCCAAAAGTAAGGGTTAGAGGTTTTCAGGATAAGGCTTACCCTAAACCCTGAACCCTGAACCCTAGACCCTAAACCCAAAACCTAAACCCTAAACCCTAAACCCTAAGCCCTAAGCCCTCCGCCCTAAGCCCTGCCTTAGGTTTTCAGGATAATGCTTTGGAAAGCCTTAAAGGCCATAGGGGGGCAGAGATGAGACCGACTCGCAGTCATCCTCGGCTGCCCTTCGACAGCAATGCCCACGCGCCTTGGACCCGAATCTGGGGTTTAGGGTTTAGGGTTTAGGGTTTAGGGTTTAGGGTTTAGGGTTTAGGGTTTAGGGTTTAGGGGGTCTTGGTGGGTGTCGTGTGTATGTTGGGGCACGCTTCAGCAACTGTGTGCTGGGCCGCGTGGAAAAGTGTCCCCAACTTATCGTTACATGAAGGCGTCATTACCACCTGTTGCTTTGCATACATGATGTGATGATGGATAGCAAAATCTGCGACAGGTCTTTGCTGATGCCCCAAAATCAGATGCCCAGGTTTCCAAGCCCCTAAGCCCTCTGCACAAAACCGCCCCTGACCCGATCAAAGCCCAACTTTTTTCCACACACCCTCCTAAACCCTAAACCCTAAAACCTAAACCCTAAACCCTAATCCCTACCAAGGTGGCCCCAGTGAGGCGCCGGTGCTAGTCGGTGCCTTTCAGGCCTCAGGACGACTCCCGCCGTCGGAAAAGCAGTGCGGTTCAGGGTTTAGGGTTTAGGGTTTGGGGTCCAGTGTTTAGGGTTTAGGGTTTACCCCTAAACCCCTCAACCCCTAATCCCCTCAACCCCTAAACCCCTAAACCCCTGAACCCCTAAACCCCTAAACCCCTGAACCCTACTTCGGCTCGTGGAGATTGTGGGTGCGTCTTTGCTCATCATCCCTACAACTCGAAGCGCACTGTAAGTTCCGGAAAATCCCACCGCCTTCTCGGGGGAAACCTCACCTCCCGCGTGTGCGATAGGGAGCGGCCCCCTTACGGCTTTCCGGCGCTCCTTGGCTTTAGGGTTTAGGGTTTCGGGTTTCGGGTTCAGGGTTATAGGGTTTTAGGGTTATAGGGTTTAGGGTTTTAGGGTGTTGGGCGCCGCTTTGGGTTTCGTTGAGTCTCACGTTTCGTTTCAATCCTTCCGGGGCTGAATGGATGCAGGGGCATTTCTAACTCATGCTTGTTGTCGCTGTGGCCATTACAGCGAGTGAAACTGCCACTACTTCAGAGATTCTGTCGTGGGCCTGTATCCGTGAATCCCGACCCCAACTAAACAAGCAAAGCAAGCACCAAAACCTGCAGACCAGTACCTCGATGAAACGGGCGCCTGCGCATTGTGTCGGACATCTCTACGGTGAAATTTCGTTCTCTGAGAACAGGCAAACCTCTTGATCCATGAACCCTAAACCCTAAACCCTAAACCCTAAACCCTAAACCCTAAACCCTAAACCCTAAACCCTAAACCCTAAACCCTAAACCCTAAACCCTAAACCCTAAACCCTAAACCCTTCCGATCCATGAACTGAGCACGGAACGCAGTGCAAGGCTTTTCTTCGTGCCCCTGAGCTCTGGAGCCTCTCTCTGGCTGCGTACCGCGCTCAGACAGGGAAGGACCGCAGCAGCAGAGTTTTCAAAGTTCAATGGCTGCATCGATTCTTTTTGAGGAGAGGGGCCTGTGGGGAAGACCGATTCCTTTTAAGCGCAGGGTATTAGGGTTTAGGGTTTAGGGTTTGGGGTTTAGGGTTTAGGGTTTAGGGGCCGAATAGGGTAGAGACCCGGCGACCTCAATCGTCTTGGGAATCGCAGAGTCCTAGAGACATTCTTCCGTCTACATTCGCCCTTCCAAAAAGTCGTGCAAGACTCGTGCATTTAGGGTTTAGGGTTTAGGGTTTAGGGTTTGAGCCTGTGCAAGGCCTGCACAAAGCTGACGAGCTGCGTGTATGCCTGGTTCCCAGAGTCTGAAGGTTCCAAAGGTTGCAGCTTGAGTTGAAAGCTCGGGGAGTTCTGAAGCCTTCTGGCAATTGGCACGTAGAACTTTATGGTGTGAAAGCTACAGCTTCATCTAAAGACATGTGCAGAAGGTTGACGTCGAAGACATGGCCTGGTACACGAATCTCCATGTGAATTCTGCGCCCCTTCAGCCGAAGCAACGCGCCCGGAGCGCAGAGGCTACTTAGAGCCTCGTGGCTCTAGCCGAGCTCGTCGCCACGGTGGCTTGGGCACGCATATCATCGTTTGCAGGGCGGGGGAACCAGATGGAACCAGGCGATCTGTTGCCGAGGTTGCTGATGTTGTAGCGGAAGCTAGTTGCCCGGAAGGTCCTTTGGCTCCATTTACATGTTCGACTTGCCAGGGTCGCCTGGACATGGACAGACACTCCTCGTCTTTGTTTCAGGTATGGGCTGGTGTCCATATATATATATATATATTGCCTTGGTTTAAAGGTTTCTGACTTGCAGATCATCACCCTAAACCCTATAAACCATAAACCCTAAACCCGCGTTTTGGCTCAAGGCTTTGCTCATTGCCGGAAAGTGTCGAAGTCCGCTCTCTCTCTGCTTCCGCACTCGCCATGGCACTCACAGCCGCTGCAGTGCTTTCCGAGGAAGAGGTCCTGGTGGAGAGGCCTCACTCGCGCAACAAGCGCCACTGGTACCTCGCGGGTGCGGCAGTGGCGGCCCTGGCCGTGGCGGGCGTCGTGGCCAAGGTGTCCCACTCTCCTCTCTCCAAGTCAAAGACCTTGGGCGAGATTGAGAACTGGGAGGAGCTTCCAGGAATGGACAAGGTCATTCTCAAGGCGCAATCCTTGAAACCGAAGCATCCCCTGCGCAACCTCAATGACCTGTTCTACGATTCGGTGCCGGAGGAACTTCCATGGATCCGCACCGAGTGCGTGATTGACACAGTGCCCTAGTAGTAGAGTAGGTAACCTGTAACCTTCTTGGGGTAATAGAATCCCCTTATAATCCCAAAGGTTAACCTTCAGTTCCCCCAGGTTACTGGACAACTAAGGTGCAGGCAGCCGCCTACTTGGCCCAAGCGGTCGTTTTCCTGTACAAGGCCATCGACTACAATGGCCTGGAGTGCCCGGACAACTCGCCTGTGGGCTGCGCCGCCAGCGTGGCCGGCTTCATCACCTCCATCAGCTGGATTGCCTCGTATCTGTCCTTCGCTGCGAACGCCTGCGGCCAGGCCGTCAACAATGGCGCCCTCTGCGCAGGTGACTTCACGGCGTTGATGGCCAACTTCGGTGAGATCGCCACGGTGGGTGCCGCCGTGAAGGCCGACTGCGACTTTGGCAAGAACGCCATCTCCATCCTCACCAACCCGGACCCTGTCAGCCCGCCGTGGGCGCAGTTCGTCCCCGGAGGCGCCGGCCCAGAAGCGGAGAAGATCCTGGCGATCAAGGGGCACCAGGAGGCGAACCGCAACCGAGGCTTCGACATCACGCAGTGTGTGGTGGATGTGACCAACTCCGCCTCCTACATTGTGCGAGTCATCCTCCAGATCCGTTCCGCTGCCAGCTCTTGCCCGGACCCGAAGGCCTGCGCTGTCGGCATCATGAACATCATCTCCTCCTTCGCCTGGATCTCACAGTTCACGGCGCTGGCGGTGTCCGACTGTCAGGTGGGCGCTGATCAGAAGGCCTTGTGCACGGCCGACATCTCCGACATGGTGGCCGCGGTAACCAACGGACCCGCAGCCGGCATCGCATCGACCTCGGACTGCGCGGACCTCTAAAAGCCAAGACAGGCAAGGGCCACCTGAGCCGATGCCAGCATGTATGGGCTGTTTTTGTCAACCCATAATCGAATTTCGGGGCATGAGTCCTGGCTGATGGCACGGGTGTTCGGAGGGAAGCTGCGGGGAGCCTTAGATTGGAGATAGTAAAGAAGCCCTGCCGCTAACAGCCCATCATTCCTTGCGGCGTGCTTTCGCGAACGGCGAAGGCATGCGGCGTGCTCAGTACAGTTCAACGTGCGTCCTGGCGACTCTCAAGTCCGACATACCCTGGAACTGCCCTGTAGCCCCAAATGATCACTGCCTGATAAGAAATCGTGCATAGCTCTGCTTGAGACCGTCCTTGACATCGCCGCTTTGGATGGAGGCTCTCAGGACAACCCGTGAGAGAGAGACCTCCCGTCCTGTGCTTGGGCACCATGCCCTGTTCCGGCGTTCACGGCATGATACAGACTGTACTGGCGGGTTTTACCCCAAAACGTTTGTTTTCCATTCTATGGCACCTGTGAAGCCTTGCCCGCGCGCGCGCGCGCGTGCGCGCGTGAGAGTCGAAGCCCCAATCTGGCCCACAATCCCCGATCATCCCAGGCCTTGCGGCGCTGCGTGCCTCTCCGCGCACCTCCGAGCCTGTCATCGTCAGCAGCGTGGCATCCATTATTCTTACTATTATTACTACTATTCTGATTATGAATATTATCACTATTATCACTATTATCACTATTATCATTATTATCATTATTATCATTTTTATCATTATCATCATCATCATCATCATTATCATCATTATCATCATTATCATCATTATCATTATTATGATTATTATCACTATTATCATTATTATCATTATGATCATTATGATCTTCATTATCATCATTATCATCATTATCATCATTATCATCATTATCATCATTATCATCATTATCATCATTATCATCATTATCATCATTATTATTGTTTGTGTAATTATTAGGATGTTTTAATTCATTATGATTATGGTGATGATTATTATTATTTACTATTATTAATTGTTATTATTATTACTATTCATTTATTACTTAATACTATTTATTTATTTTTATTTGTGTTATTATTAGTACTATTATTCTGCTTATCCTCATTGTTATAATTAGTATTACTATTAGTACTGCTATGACGATTATTACTATTGTTACTACTATTATTATTTGGATTATTGCTGGTATTGCTCAAATTGTTGTTATTGTTGTTTGTAGTATTGCTATAATCATTGTTATTCTTCTTGTTGTTGCTTTATTGTTATTTGTTATAATATTATGCTAGTATGGCACTTCGAGGGCTCTTGTTCAGGTTGGGCCAGTCTGTCCCTGTAGCTTGCGCCTCCTCAAATTGGCTGCATGGCCCTAGTTTGTTTCAGACTGGGATGGAGGACTGGAATATTTCCGGATCGAAAAGCACACGAACCGGACTGAACCCCCCTGGGGTGGACAAGCAGTCTTTAACGAAATCGGGTTTAGGCCACCCCTTCCCGACTTGGAAGAGGCTTCATTGGCGTTTGCATGCTTCACGCCTTCGCCGACGGAAACTGCTATCTGCCCTTGGTCAAGGCACCTTTTGGTTGCCTGTGCTCCCTCCAGTCGGAGATGTTTGATCAAGGCTTGTCCAAATTCCTGGTTTGAGTTTCGAGCTCAGAGCCTGTTGGTCTGTGGGGCACTCGGCATTTTTGAGATGCGACCATGTAGCCTGTAACTGGGGGTATTTGTGCGGGTGACTTATCAACAGTTGGCCAGGGGAGAGGGGGAGGGAGTGGCATCGGCCGCCTAACCCAAATTCCAACACATGCCTAAGCACCCTCAACAACAGGCTTAAGGGGTAAGGAGGGACCCCTAGAAGGGACCTTTAATCTTATTCTTCTATAGAACCCCTATCGCTTGGCAGACCCTAAACCCTAAACCCTAAACCCTAAACCCTAAACCCTAAACCCTAAACCCTAAACCCTAAACCCGCCCAGCCCAGTTCCGTAGGACCTCATGACCGGCTACACAGCGGTCGCTGAGCAGAAGGAGCCACAACTGGCTCCCCTGGAGGCTTCTATGGGGGGTTTAGGGTTTAGGGTTTAGGGTTTAGGGTTTAGGGTTTAGGGTTTAGGGTGGGTTCAAGAGGGTTTGGGGTTGGGGGTTTAGAAGGTCGTGGACCCGGGAATAGAGGTGGGGCATGTGTCTTCGGGCACCTTCAGCGAATCAAAACAGCAACATGCGTGGTTTGCCCACACCGCTTGCATGCTTTGTTGCTCAGAGCTAGCCTGCTGAAAGCAAGGTTTCAGTGTTCAGAAAGTAGTGACAAGGAGTTGGGAGAGTAGGGCTAGAGGTGCAATTTAATTTCCCTGCAAGCTTCAGGGTGTTAGGAGGCGGTCAGGTCTCTTTTTTTGAAGTCTGAACTTCCGGAAACACCACGTATTTGCAAGTATTTCGTCTCTTCTGGAAAGAGCTTGTGCGTGCTCAGGCAAACCCACCAATCTTGACCGATGAAAAGGTTCCCTCCTTATAGCGGGTCTCATTTGGACGTTTGACAGCTGGGCTGTGGGATCTGCAAGGCTTGGACATGTTTTTTTGCTTTTCAAGCCTGAACCCTGAACATTCTTCGTCTGAACATTCTTCGTGTACCCAAACCCTGAACCACTGCAGGGCCTGTAGGAGCCTCCAAAGACTCCGAATAGCCCCGAGCCCTGCGCAGGACAGCCTCAGTGAGCTCCAGCGGCGTCTCTTCGATACTTTCCACCTGCGGCACCCATGACTCTGTTAGTTCAGGGGTGTTGGGGAAAGTGTCAGGTTCGTGCGGAGTGCTGCCCAGTCCCAAGAACAGCAAGACGCAGTGAGACAACAGCATCTTTCTGGTACCTTTCCCTGCGAGCCTTCGAGCCCATAGAGACTGCTTTCTGTTGCCCTCAAGTATAGCAGCTGGATGAGGGCTACGCCTGCGCGCTGCTCTCTGCGTGGTGGCATCTATCGCTTCAGAGGCCACGGCTACGGCCACAGCACCTAGGCATCATTTGGCTGAGTGAGTTGGCACCAGGGTTCAGGCCCAAGTTCAAGGTCGCAAGGGTTCCGAAATTAGGGATACCTTCTTGGGAGTCCTTATTATGAGGGAATCCTATTATTTGGGGGTCTATATTCGGGGCCCCTTAATTTTTCGTAAACCCGGCCCGGAGTGCGATGTTTGGGGCTCTTTGGTTGGAACTCTGAAGACGTGTCTGCCTGGCCCAACCACGCATACACCGGCACACACCCCTGCAGCCGAGGTATCGGGCTGCTTCCCGAAGCCATGTCCGCCTTGGCAAAAGTGGGCGTCCAGCGAGGGGCCCTAATGATCATGGGCTTTGGACGTCCGAGTCCCTTTCTTCACGTGTGTCAGTGAGCAATGTCAGCCCTGCCAGCAGCTACAAAATAGTAGGGGTACCGCTTTTAGAACCCAAGTCGAATGGAATCCCCCTGAGGGGACCCCCAAAACAGGGTAGCCCAATTTTCGGAAGCCCCCATATTGGGAGACAGGACGGATGCACAGAGCTGCAGCCAAAGGTACCGTCTCCCTTTGGATGTCGTGCTGCTGGGCCTTTGCATGTGCGCAACGTGGCAGCAACGCAAGGCTAGCCAGAGTCAGAGGAGTTCCATCATTCATCTCGAGCTGTCATATGGGGGTTTACGGAAATAGGGGACCCCAATATAGATCCCCAAATACTAGTAGTAGGACGCCATTACAATAAGGACCCCCAACAAGGTACCCCTAGTTTCGGAAACCCCCCTATACATTTAGATCTTACGACACTATCACTAACCTCTGACCTTCGCAGCTGTCGCATGCCTCTAGAAGTTGAGAGTGACCCCGTTCAGGTATCTGCAGTCGAGTGGCCCGGGTAATCCAAGATAGCCCGAGTCCCTTGTTGCAGCCCACCAAGTACTGTTTAAAAACAGGAAAGAACAGTTCTCTTCAGGCAACTGCCCGAGCAGATAAAAGCGACACGGTGGACATGACGCTCTACGCCGGCATGCGCCGCTGGACTTGAGAGAGGGTTGGCGTGGGCCCTTCGAGCTTGGAGCTCTTGAAAAACCCTAAACCCTAAACCCTAGACCCTAAACCGTAAACCCTAACTCAAAGAGGGTTTGTTGTTTCGACCCGCGGCCGAGAATGGGGACCCTGGCTGCTGGTTTTTTTGGGGGCTCAAAAGGGTTTAGGCGCTCCAGTCCTAGAGGGAGTTGAACAGTCTCCACCTTGCGTGAGGGGACGGCAATGGCGAGGCGATGGACGCTTGGCAGCAATGGCAAAGCTGGCCCTGTAGAGGGGCTTCCAACTTCGGGTTTGGATTTTAGAGGGTTGGGCTTAGGCTCGCAAGGCTTGAGCTTCACACCCTCTCAAACTTTGGCACTTACAAGTGTCACTTCGTATCTGGTGGCGCTGTCCTGGGTTGCCAAACCTGCCCCCAAGATCTTCCAAGGAGTAAAACACGGCAGTCCCGTCCAGCCCAACCGAGGCGGTTGGCCTCTTCTCAGACTGGCGGGACATCTTCGTGCGAGCCTCCCTGCCAAGATAAGAGCAATTCCTGAGGGGCTTAGGCGGCTTAGGGATAAATGCGCTTGTGGGTTGAGGGCAACCTAGGGTGGTTTCTCTGCAAAGTGTTCGGGGCAGGCATGTCGGCGGCCGGCCCGTACCCCCTTCCAGCATTCTCCGGTTGATACTCCAGGCGATGCAGAGATGGGCGATGCGCAGTGTATAAATCGACCATGAAGTCCTCCACTTCATGGCGGCCCTGTTCTGAAAACAGGCTATCAAGCTAAGGGCATCACATGACATTGCGCCTCCCTTTCCCCTCCCGCAAAGCCTGGCACTCCACACTGAGCACCGAGTACAGACCGGGGCTAGAGTCACGACTGCAGCATCCTGAAGCCACTTGGGGATTCAAGGGTTTGGGGTGTAGGGTTTAGGGTTTAGGGTTTAGGGTTTAGGGTTTAGGGTTTAGGGTTGTAACGTTT